ACGACGCTCTTCCGATCTATAATACTCCAAATTTTTTGCTTAAAATTCTTCTTGTATGCTTCTATTTTTGTGATTGTAAAACTGGCCCGGTCAGAAACGTAGCCAAGGCGAAAAACTACTATCTGTAATATAAATCTATACAAAAGTGGGACCCTTGAATCGGGTGGCGGTCGGTGACTTCCGGCTTCACTTTCCTATACTATCGATGCGTTATCCAGTCTTAGTACAGATCAGTGGTATTAACAATAAAAACGTAAGTTGGTGAGTAAGTTCCTTTAAGGTCATATTATCCAAATCTGGTTTCTCACGAATAAAATTGAATACCGGATTGATATCCCATATATCCAAATAACGTGGTAAACTTGGTTTCAAATAAGCGAAATTTTAAATTTTGTTAACAATGACAACTGAAGCAATCGGGAAGCTCGAGAACGAGTATATCAGGATATGTCCAAATGTTGGTATTAAATACTTCCTATATACCATGGCTTCAACGAAAATGTAAGCTCTCGTTGTCATGTAGAAAAGTACAGCAAAGTGAGATGTATAAGCGTTTCGAAGTTTGGGCGAATTGGAAATTCATCTCGGCGCATTTAAAAGTTTCTCGGGTTCTCTCGCGACCGAGAGGAAACAAGGTGACACTGACCCCTCCTCCTATTTTTCAAGGTGACTTCTCCAATTTATTTAATTCCGAGTATAAATGTCTGGAAAAATTCATGTCTTCGATGTACTTTATAATCTTCGGAATTCTGCAAGATTTCACCCCCAAAATGCATGAAATCGCAATTCAGGGACCCTAGATTTCAAAATTTTCCGGACCCTCCTACACGGTCTCACGCCTTCGGCGTGAGGTTGGCCCCCCGCAAAATTAAGGTTTGGCTACGCCACCAGTTATAGCTGTACGATTATAGCTACAAAGAGTTGAAGTTATTGTTTAAAGTAAAATATAGCTGAAGTTAATAAATTAAAGTTTTACAAAATCTCTCTTCAGACTCGCGCGTTCTGGCCAAACCTCGACGGCTCATATTCTTCGTTCTGCCTTTTTTCCTGTTTTGCCCCCCCCCCCCACCCAGTGAAAATTCCTTAAAAAAGTCACTGCACGAAGCAAGCACCACAGCAAACACGCAACGATTTTCTCAGCCTAATTGACTTTCCGCCTAATAACAAACTTCACACCAGTGGCTGCATGAACAATGTCAAGTCCATAATAGAACACAATTCACGCATGAGGAAAAACTAGCACAAACAGAGCAAGATTTAAACATAATTAAAAACATAAACGTTCTCTGACTAAAATTTTATTTAAAACGAGCTTTCGACTACCTAACTGTAGTCTTCGACGGGTAAAGCGGAATGAATTATTATTAAATTACAAGCGTGCATGTGTTAGAAAACGTTTATGTTTTTAATTATGTCTAAACCTGGCTACGTTATCTCCATATTGTCTAAGATTTAAACAGTTGTAAATTTAATGTAGGACTAAGAACACACGCCTGCTTCAGAAACGTTGCTTGTACAGCCAACCTGTTTCAATCCAATGAAGTAATCATTTATCACTTAGTTTATCTATAGTTAGTACAGGAGAGGGTTTGGAAAGCCGGCAAACTTCAAAGCTTTGCAAGCTAATTAATTCAAAGTGTTGGAAAGGTACGTCACGTGACAATACGGGTGATCGAATTCAGGAATTACAGGAACATAGCATTACAGAAATACGATATTATGATTAAAACAAATCCAATAACTCATTGCTGTTCTGGTCATGGCCTCGACAAGTTCGGCATACGATTCAGAAAGCGAAATTCTTCCAATTCTGGGCTCTGAAGACGCAGATACAACAACGAAGGACAATTTTCATCATTGGAGAGATGAAAAAGTTTACCCAAAGAACTAACGAGGTCACACAAGTGTTCAAGTTGAAACCTAGCAAGTCCTTCGCAAAAGATGTCAATGTTTTGCTGCACAAATCCCGCCGTGAAAACGATCGCGATATATTTATGAAAGAGTTTTTCGGGAAAATATATGGTTCATGGAAAGAATATTTTCATCCATACAAAGAAAATGAAGTAGGGTTTTTGATGCCGGTGAATATGCCCTAAAGGTTGGTTTTGCTAACCCAAGATTCTCAAGTTATAAACAGTTAAGAAACAGTGTATTTAATAGTGGTAATGTCTTATATAGTCTAGATATAAATGTGTTAAATAAGGTTTACGTCTAATTGTCAATTACATTGTCTACTAACTTGTGATTTGTTAGTTTTGATAATCCTGTACAGTTTCTAAGTCTTAAGTTGAATTGATATTTCCTCCGTATGGCACAACATATTGACGGAAGGGTATTACACTTAGTTCTTATTCCTCTCCAAATGCTTTGCTGGATGCCAGAAGATTTCACCTATGTACGGAAGTGCTGGGCATTACAGGCTTATATACCCAGAATATAAGAGTTGTAAATATAAAACATCGAGTCTCCTTAAAGCTAGTAAGGCCAAGTATTACCAAAACAAAACAAGTCAGCTTAAGGGCAGTCATCCCTCTAATTCGTGGAATGAATTAAGAAATTAACTGGGTCACAGCAGCATAAAGAAAATTGGCAGGACTAAGGTGGGATGTGATTCCCTATTAGATCTGGCAAATAATATCAACAACTTAGTTCACTCCATTCCAAAGGCTTATCCCCCTAAAACCATTGAGGAAGATATGCGACCAATAAGCTTTATATGTCAAATTGCAAAAGTGTTAGAAGGACTTACTTGTAAACGCCTCTTATCTCAACTGTCTGGAAAAATTGACGAGAAACAATACGCACAAAAAGGAAGGTCAACGACTGATGCCTTAATTGATTTGTTACATCTTGTATATGAAACCTTTTGCGGATTTTTCGAAAGGTTTCGATTTGATTGATCATAACATCCTTATCAATAAATTGGAACCCTTAAGTGTTCATCCTATTCTACAACAATGGATTGCTACCTTCCTCACCAACAGATCCCAGTGTGTCCAATTAATAAATGGAATTAGATCGGAATGGAAAACAAGCAATGGAGGAATTCCGCAGGGGACAAGGTTGGGTCCAATTTTGTTTAATGTTATGGTCAATGAATTGGCAAAAAAATGGGGCGACAGAATTAAATTTGTTGATGATTTAACTGTAACAGAAATAATACCAAGGAATTCACCGAGTTTATTACATATGATTGTTGAAGAAGAAATCCATCGATATGCTGTTATGAATCGCATGAAATTGAACCCGGGAAAGTGCAAGGAAATGATAATTAATTTCATGACCTATGATAACATTGCATGCCGTCCCCTAGTTATAAATGGAAAGGGTTGTTGAACGAGTAAATAGTAATAATCTTCTCGGATTAATTATTAACAATACTCTTTCTTGGTGTGAACATTCCCTTGTTTGGACTTCGCCAGCTTAAACAAGCAGAAATTAATCAAGGTCTCGTGATGGTGTATTGTATTGTATTGTACGACTATACGCCCAATCCTTGAATATGCGTCTCTGGCATGGTCGAACATCCCGTTAAGTAACCAACTTGAGGATGTGCAAAGACGGGCATTGCGTATTATTAACCCAGAGTCAGAATACATTGACTCCTTACGAATCTGTGGACTCACACTGCTATCACACCGTAGGAATATCTTGTGCCAAAAATATATGAATACAGTACAACAACCATGTCATCCTTTAAACCATCTGTGAGAAACATTTGATATTAAGGGAAAATGACGTCATGTCTTCACCGAAAGTGAACATGTTTGATTGACAGTTTGGGGTTTTGTGTAAAGCATGAGTTTTATGTATAATGTAAATATAGTATAGGTTGAAGTTTAATACAAATCATAGCAAACGAGCACGAAGTTTACGAAAGTTTATAATACTGAAATAATTTATTTCTGAAGATATATTAATATTAAAAGTCTTACAACATTCCTGTAGCGTTAGGATTCAAAACTATCGTTCAACTTCTGTCCACGCAAGCTTATTTGCTCACGTCAGTCTCTTAGATATATAACGTTTCTATATTCTTTACATTCCTCCCTTAAATTTGAAGGATAACTAAGCTGGAAAAATGCAGTACAGTCCGACATATATGTATAGCTAAAGTCATTCATAGTCCCGTAACCACGCTGGGTTTTTTCTCGTTCGTGCTGGTCTTTCCGGTGGGGCTTGTGACTGTCCCTCGTTTCCTTCTACTGGTTCTTGCAATGTCCCGTCGCTACCGTTTCTCGGATTATTCTGTTCCATTGATCTCGATGGCACGTCCTCTTGTAATTCGTCAGGTAAATGTTGTACATCCTCTTGTACTTCGTCAGGTAAATTTTGTCCGTGTTCATCCACGTTAATTGTCCGACTTGGTCTAATTTGTCTCACATTTTGTCTGAAATATCCCACTGTCCACTCATCCTCATCATTTTCTCCATAAGTTATGGCTTCCGTTCGCGAAGTTTGGCCACTACAATTCTCCGCGTTTTCTTTTCTCGTTTCAGGAATTTCTTTCGATTGAAGTTTCGTCTCGTTTGGTGGTCGATCAGGTAGACTATTCAATCGTCCTTCCAACACAGGGAGCCCAAGCGTTGATCTGTGTTTTAATTGAATTATTTCACCATATTACACATTACATTAATATGTCATTTAATAATAATAATACTCCTATAGTCGAACATATAATAACAACATATAAGTTGATTTGCATTTGTATGTTTTTTTTATTTATTTAAGATCTATTATTAGCTTATATAAAAGCACCGCCTTTCGAACCTGACAGCCCGTTCGCAGGATACGCGCGGGATTTGAAATAGGGGGCGGCAACAATATAAATACGTGACAAGGGATGAAACTCGTTTGTCGTATTATGAATGCCCCGACTTGAGTGGACCGATAATTATGCAATTAACGCCGTCAACATTTAGGAATCAATGATATAAACAAGGAAGCAAACTCGAATACAACTCAAGGTGAGAAGCCAATTTGTGTCGACCGTAACGGTTTCAATGTTTAAAATTAAAAATTAAATACATTGGGTCCAGACAAGTCGGGGCGTTAATGCTACGAAAAGTCGCTATTAAAAACTATAACAATTTATAAGACTCTAGGGCTTTTATTTCACAAAATTTTTGAATGGCTATGTACTTTAGCCTTAGACATATCATGTGGCCGAATTTCAAGCTAAAATTCGGTTTAACAAGCACATACGGCTTCAAAATAAAACATCGCCGTGTTGTAATTCAATTCAATTCAATTCAAAAACATTTATTTAAACACGATATAAAAATAGCAGCAAATTGCTGATGTGGTCGTGTAATTTCATCCCTTGTCACATTTCTTATTTCAGTGCGAAATAACGCGTGTATCCTGCGAACGGACTGTCAGGTTCGAAAGGCGGTGCTTTTATATAAGCTAATAATAGATCTTAAATAAACTGAAAAACATACAAATACAAATCAACTTATATGTTGTTATTATATGTTCGACTATAGGAGTATTATTATTATTAAATGACATATTAGTGTAATGTGTAATATGGTGAAATAATTCAATTAAAACACATATCAACGCTTGGGACTACTAACCTATTCCTTTTGTTGGCATTTTTTTCGATTCGAAATTTTGTTTACAGTTGTATATGGGTCCCCGCCACGGCCGTGATAACTTCAAATTCTTTCTCTTTTTGACAAATGGTACATACAACCATACTTTGTCCCGAACGTTGTACGTCGTATCTTTCGCCTTCGCGTCGTAGTAATCTTTATATCGCTCGCTAGCTTTCTTTGTATTTACTCTGTTCAACTCGTATGTTCTTTCAAAACGTTTCCTCAGTTTTTCCGCATACTCTGATGTGGTACTTCTGCTTGAGGGGGATCAGGTGTCATTAGGTCAACTGGTATTTTTGTTTCTCTTCCAAACATCAAGAAGTGTGGAGAGAACCCTGTTGAGGTTTGCACGGTGGACCGATACGCCAACAATGCTTGGCGTTCATTGACCAACTTTGAAAGAATATCTTTCAGGGTCCGGTTCATTCGTTCAACAACGCCATCACATTGAGGGTGGTATGGTGTTGTTCGGGTTTTCTTTATCCCAAGAATATCGGTTATCTTTTTGAAGACCGCGCTTTCGAAGTTTCTCCCCTGGTCCGTATGCAGTCGCTGCATGACTCCATAATAATAATAATAATAATAATAATTTGATGTTTACAAAAATTTACAAAAAAAGATTATATGTTGCATTACCTGCAAGTATGGCAGCTAGTCGTGGCAGGCAATGAATTTAAATGTAGGTAGTTTAAGTAAGTTTAGAAAAATATTTTTACAAATAAGTGAAGGAAAGTATATAAAGTTAATTGATTATGAAAAATATTGTAATTTTAAATACATTATTACAGATCTAGCATTACAGAGAAAAGGCAAGCAGCTGAAACATCCTTATCTAGTATTCTATCTCAAAGGATCTAAGGTAATTTAAACCATCATAGTTACAATTGGCAATCTTGCTATTATCATGGGCACATCAACATAGTGATTCTCAGTTGTAAGAATTGTAAAGAGGGCCTGGCACATTTTGTGTTTAAATATCTTTTTACTTTTTGAGCGAAGGCCCTGGTCAATACTATTCCAAATTTCCGCACCAAGTCGAGAAAACGAACATTTCTGAAGCTCTAGGCGAGAATATTTGATATAAAAATTATCTTTCTTCGCCGCTCTTGTATTATAATTATGAACCTCAGATGTTTTTTTTAAAAAATTCTTGTAGAGTTGTTGGCGAGTCTCCGGTTGATATATCGTATAACATGTTAGCAGATTCTCTGATATACATCATATTAATAGGAAGAGAATTTGAAGAAACAAACAAGGGAATTGCATGATTATCAAATGATTTAAAATACATCAGACGTAAAACGCGTTTTTGTAATATAAGAAGTTTCTTAACGTGAAACTTGGCAGCATTTCCCCATGCAGACAGTCCATACGAAAGATAAGGTAAAATTAAGGACCTATATATATCTAGTACGGTATGATTTGGAATAAAATATCGCAATTTTGAGATAATCCCAACATTTTTACTAATCTTTAATGCAATATAGTCAATGTGATGCTTCCAACTTAAGTGGCAATCAATAATGATACCAAGATACTTTATATATTCTTTGCATTCGAGTGGTGTGTATTGCTTAGAATTATTATCATACATGCTAATTACTGGATGATAATTTACTGATTTCTGGTGTGGGCGAAAAATAACAAAATTTGACTTTTTTATATTAAGCGTAAGTTTGTTGGCATTAAGCCATTTGCAAACATTATTCAATTCAGAATTTACAACAGATTCAAGTGTTTTCAAGTTTTTATTAGCATATAGTAGGTTGGTATCATCCGCAAAAAGAAAAAAATTAAAAACGTTTGATGACTCAGAAATATCGTTTAGTAGAGGCCCAAGGACTGATCCTTGAGGTACTCCACACAAAGTGGTTTCTCTATCAGATACACAGTTTCCAATCAGAGTTGTTTGAGAGCGGTTTTTTAAGTAGGAAGAGAACCAGTCATTTACCTCTCCCCTAATACCGTAATGATTTAATTTACCCAAAAGTATATCGTGGTCTACCGTATCAAAGGCTTTCTTCAAGTCTATAAATATACCGCAGGAATAAAGTTTATTATCCATGTTAGTTTGGATTTTGTTAACAATGTCGAGAATGGCATGTTGTGTAGAATGTTGTTGACGGAAACCATATTGTGAGGGACACAAGATATTTTTCATATTTAGGTATTTGTCTAAACGTTTATACATGATTTTTTCAAAAATTTTATTAAATACCGATAAAAGGGATATGGGTCGGTAATTATTCGGTTCAGTTTCATCCTCCGCTTTGTAAATTGGAATTATTTTCGCAATTTTGAGTTTATTAGGATAAATTCCAGTTTCAATCGATCGATTAAAAATATTTGCCAAAGGTTTGCTCAGAATGTGTTTTGCACATTTAATAATCCTCGAAGGGCATGAGTATAAACCCTCAGCTTTTTTGGTTGGTAGTGTGATAATTTCAAGTTCAATATCTCTTTCAGTTATCGGAATGAAAACAAATGAATCTAGTTGAGATGTGTAGTTAAGGCTATTTGTATATTGAAGGTAATCAGAATGTTTTTCAGAATGTGGCATTTTAGCAGCTAATCTTTGTCCACATGTAGCAAAATGTTTATTCAAGATGTTAGATATATTTTTAGGATCAAATGTTAACCGAGAAGTAGGATCCTGTCGCATGGCACCAATATTATTTTTATTATTACGGCTACGTCCTAAAATTTCCCTTATTCCTTCCCATTTCTTACTCATATTTGTGTGATTCAAGTTGAAATATTTTTCATAGTAAAATTTTTTGCTGGCTCGGAGTAAAGTAACAATATAGTTTCTATATATTTTATACTGAGTTAAATTATTTGTGTGAAATAACTTATTTGTAACTTTAATAGATGCCCTTATTCCTCTAGTTACCCATGGCTTGGATAATTGTCTGGCAGAGTAAAATATATATATATATATATGTTGTGGTTTCCCACGTTTACGATTCCACTCGTGTAACGTTATGTAGTGGTTTTTTTGAGTTGTTTTGAGTTGAGTTGTTTTCAGTTTCCGAGTTGTTTTCATATATATATACCATTGAGTGGCAGCACTCTCCCCCCTGACGAGTAAAATCATCTGGCAGAGTAAAATAGAGAGTAAAATAAACAAATACAGCGTAAATTAGTAATACAGAGTAAAATAGTCTGGCGTTAGACAGAGTAAAATAATAAAGTAGGGCGCATTGCCACTTAAAGGGTTAAACTGGCTAATTGAACTAACTATTAACTAAAAACTGTGTGTTAAATGCCAGTTTAAGTTCTGTGTAACATGTGCATTAATAGTTTGTTATACTTTATATAGTTTAACACACCCTGATAAATAATTCGAATGTAAAATACAATGTCCAATACGGCGACTTCTCAAAGAAATTATTAAAACACTTTATATAAGAACTTATTATGGGAAGTTATTGTTGTAATAGAGTAATATAATTTTAACGAAGTGGCTATTTGTACTGGAATATGGCACCCGATTCTTACATTTCGTTTTAAATTAGTAATATAAAATAGTTTTTTGCAACCGCTTTGGGTTGGGGACGAAGGGGTTGGGGTCTGTTTATCTTAAATATTCCAACTGCTGTGAGTACGACTAGCAAATTAAACTCGGCGTATTGTTCCTGTACGAATAGCCACTTCGTACTTTTAAAGCAAAAGTATGCAAGGGAAACAATTGTTCTGGGTCTTGACTTATAGTGTTCCGAGTTTACAGTTTTTCAGCATTTTATAGGGGGGTCTTCAACATTTAGCTCAACAAGAGGGGGGAGGGCTACGAGATTTTTGTATATGACATAAGAATCTCCCCCCCCCCCAGGATATGAATAATGAACGATCCCTTACGCTTTCGCGGCATGATGTAGAATGAAGACCCTAGAACTGGTAATTTTAATCAGTAATTTTAATCAAAATCACTAACAGCTGGAGGTTAAGAAAATTAATTCCAGGACTTTCAAGGACTTCTACTGATTTTCAAGGACTTTCCAGTCGTAGAGTTTTGTTTTTCCAATTCAAGGACTTTCCAGGATTTTCAAGGCCCATGGACACCCTGAATATACTTCACCAGGTATCCAGTATTATCAGGTGAGCAAAATATTAAAATAAAGCAATATGGTTGGCTAATCTACTCATAAATTATTAAAATGCATTTGAGATGCCTGGTTCACATATGCCTGTGGTACGCCTGCGCTATCATTTTTGCGAATTAGTTGGTTGAACTGCCAACGACAATAGCCCGCCAACATACCGCAGGTAGGCATTTTTAACTATATAACACCTTGACCAAAGCCCCTCCCCCCCATGTTGGCCTCCCACTCAACCATTTTGGCCCCTCCAGTCAAAGTCCATTTTCTCTAAAATATAAGCAAAACATGGAATTTAGAAGGGAGGTTTGGTATTCTAGTGACTGAAATTTGCTTTGTGAATCCATAGTTAATAGAATACATGGTTTGGAAACTCATTAGAATAACAATATAACTCATTATCTATGTTAGTCAACGTTTATTCATAAATCTGTTCGTTCACCGTCACGTGTGTACTGTATTTTTGCCCAACTATCCAATAGCAATGTTTTAGGAAAGTTACCTATCCGTGACTAGAACAATAGGGTAAATTGCTATTGGTGGATTTGGCAAAAATACAATACACACGTGACGGTGAAGGACCATATATATGAAAAAAAGTTGACTAACATGGATAATGAGTTATATTGTTATTCTAATGAGTTTCCAAACCATCTATTCCATTAACTATGGTGAATCTTATGCCCTGTCTTTTTATCTTTAATGCTAAACATTGTGTTGTAAATGCCTTATTAGATTTTAAACATTTCCAGTGGATTGCATATCTAAGACCCTATAGATTTGAGTTGTTGGAAGGCTCGGCTAAACAAGTTAGTGACCGCAGGGGGCGTAGGAAGCAGGGGGCAGCGGGCCCCCAACCCATTGTTTTATAAAGAGGGGGACGGAATAGTTCTCGTCCCCACCAAAAAGAACAATTGAGTTTGAAACTAGAAGTATTTGAAATCTGTAATGGATATTTTAATAACATTTCTCACAATAATCCATCCTGACTCGCGGATAGCATAGACTCGCAAATCATAATGAAAGAATTAATGAAAAGGCCTAACGAAAGAGGTAGAGAAGACTTCGAAAATGCCATTTCCGACGATCTAAAGAAGCAAATTTTTCAAAATTTTCCAGCTCGGTGCCAACCATGGTGGCACCTCATTGGCGTCGGGCCTGAGTAACCGAGTTGTCGTATCTATATAAACATACGATGTAAATACAGTTCACTGAAGGTTCAGTCTATCTACAGCATAATGTAATGCTGTATTTTCAAAAATCTTTTTCAGAAAATGCAGGAATTGCAGTCCTATATAGGGGAAGAAAAATACAAATATTTTCTGGGGGTGAATACCCCAAGATCCCCCTACTATTAAATGCGATACCACACAGTCAGTATAGTATGGTCCCTTTTTGTAGATGGCCCCCTGACCTGACGAATTGTTAAAAAAATGCCCTGAGGTATATGTGAACCAGGCT